GCTATTGTAGTGCGGGTCTCCCGAGGCAGACAAAGTTCTGTCCCGTCCATGTCCGGTGATTGTTTGCCTAGAACGGCATTCACAGGGCGGGAGTCTACATAACTTGAGACTGATTCCCTGTGAATGCGGTNTTTAAAAAGTGCGACGATTTAATAAATTTGTGAAAAAATATAAAAATCAATTAATTTCAATGGCAGAACAAATTTTAGTTATTTGCGCAGCCGTGCGNAGCAGCTCCGGATGCTCCCTACAAAACTTCACATAAAATTGCAGCTGCTCCTGCGTCGTCCGCTCATATTTTGCACGTCTAAAATATTTATAAATGTTATAAATATACGAATTTATCTATTTCACACAAATACTCACTTTTCTGGTGTTTCACCGCTCATATTTTTTGCAAATAATAGCGTTGACCAGCTGTTTCTACAACAATGAACTTTTCACCATGCATGGTAAGTTGACAAAAGCTTTTCACTTTCATTGTTAGGAACAGCAACGTGCAACGACAATGACAAAATCACGATAATGAAGGATGATCAATTGTCATTGTATTGCAAAACCGGAATAGGGCTGTAAGTCCGATAGTTCCATTTTCTTGTATGTTTTCAATTTATTCGATGCATCGAAAATACCGATTTTTATATACGATACATCGATGCATTAGAAAAAAGTCGATGTTTTTTTTTACTTGCATCCCTAAGTCAAACGTGGCGTCATCTAGAGTGATGCCAAATTTAGTCAAAAAGTCGCAGATTTGCTTTTTTGCAAATAAAGAAGAAAATCCATATTTTTCTAGAAAAGTTCGATTTTATCCGAATTTTAGCACCTTAAAGTTCGATTTCAAAAATTCGCCATTTCGGAGCGAAAATTCGATTAAAATTCGAATCTCGATGCTTCGGATATCGAATTTACCCATCCCTACTATGGGCCAGAGCCTCCAATTTGCTATCTTCATTATCTAAATGCGGCAGCGACATCATGAATTTGTATAAGTTTTACATAAAAAAAGAGGAAGAACCGGAAAAATAGAAATAGATCTAATCTGGTCACAACCACAGCTGTTGCTGTTGTTGTTGTAGCGGCTACTAAGCCCCGTTCGGGGCGTTTCATCCATCAACGTTGTCATCAATTTCAGCTAGGGGGAGGCCCAGGAAGTGTGCTTCTTCCATAGGCACAGGGGCGTAAGCTGAGTGGGGTTCTCAGGGCCTGTGAAGAGGTGCCGGGAGTCATGTGGCGACTCTCTACATACCGGGCATTGGTTGGGCACATCCTCGTTGATTCTGCACGGGTAGCTGTTGAGCCTGCTGCAATAGCCAGAGCGAAGTTGTGCTATTGTAGTGCGGGTCTCCCGAGGCAGACAAAGTTCTGTCCCGTCCATGTCCGGTGATTGTTTGCCTAGAACGGCATTCACAGGGCGGGAGTCTACATAACTTGAGACTGATTCCCTGTGAATGCGGTGCAGGGCCTGTCGGTAAGTTGACGGGTTGTTTGATATACCTCTGGACTTCGTCCGTCAGTTCGTAAAGATGACTCCTGACGTGCCGTGGCGAGGGCTCTTCCGCGAGCAGTTGTCCGCTGGGATGGCCACGTCTGTGGCCCCCAGCAAGGAACTGCTTCCGGCTTTCGCTTTCCCGATGGCTACCCTTACCTCACCGCTGGTGAAAACAAGAGGCGCACTAGGTTTTGGCACTTTGTGCAGCCTTCTGGTCACTCGACGTTTGGCTTTATCCACCGGAGGATGCGGAATGAACTGCCGGCTAAGATAGCTCGCGCATCTCTCCGGGTCCGACGAAGCGTAGTCACCAAAGTCTATCTCGACTCTGTCGTCGCGCTTCGTCGGGTTGGACACCGACCTCACGGTTGACCAAAGCTTGCTCACACCAGGGGCGATGTTGCAGGTCTTCAGATGCTCTTCCCATTTCTTCCGCTTATGTACGTTCACAAGTTGCCGAACCTCCGAATTGAGATCCCTAATACGGGGGACGGTTGTCTGCTCATCAGCTAGAACAGCCGCTTCGTCAGGAAAATTTNCGTCGGGTTGGACACCGACCTCACGGTTGACCAAAGCTTGCTCACACCAGGGGCGATNTAGCACCTTAAAGTTCGATTTCAAAAATTCGCCATTTCGGAGCGAAAATTCGATTAAAATTCGAATCTCGATGCTTCGGATATCGAATTTACCCATCCCTACTATGGGCCAGAGCCTCCAATTTGCTATCTTCATTATCTAAATGCGGCAGCGACATCATGAATTTGTATAAGTTTTACATAAAAAAAGAGGAAGAACCGGAAAAATAGAAATAGATCTAATCTGGTCACAACCACAGCTGTTGCTGTTGTTGTTGTAGCGGCTACTAAGCCCCGTTCGGGGCGTTTCATCCATCAACGTTGTCATCAATTTCAGCTAGGGGGAGGCCCAGGAAGTGTGCTTCTTCCATAGGCACAGGGGCGTAAGCTGAGTGGGGTTCTCAGGGCCTGTGAAGAGGTGCCGGGAGTCATGTGGCGACTCTCTACATACCGGGCATTGGTTGGGCACATCCTCGTTGATTCTGCACGGGTAGCTGTTGAGCCTGCTGCAATAGCCAGAGCGAAGTTGTGCTATTGTAGTGCGGGTCTCCCGAGGCAGACAAAGTTCTGTCCCGTCCATGTCCGGTGATTGTTTGCCTAGAACGGCATTCACAGGGCGGGAGTCTACATAACTTGAGACTGATTCCCTGTGAATGCGGTGCAGGGCCTGTCGGTAAGTTGACGGGTTGTTTGATATACCTCTGGACTTCGTCCGTCAGTTCGTAAAGATGACTCCTGACGTGCCGTGGCGAGGGCTCTTCCGCGAGCAGTTGTCCGCTGGGATGGCCACGTCTGTGGCCCCCAGCAAGGAACTGCTTCCGGCTTTCGCTTTCCCGATGGCTACCCTTACCTCACCGCTGGTGAAAACAAGAGGCGCACTAGGTTTTGGCACTTTGTGCAGCCTTCTGGTCACTCGACGTTTGGCTTTATCCACCGGAGGATGCGGAATGAACTGCCGGCTAAGATAGCTCGCGCATCTCTCCGGGTCCGACGAAGCGTAGTCACCAAAGTCTATCTCGACTCTGTCGTCGCGCTTCGTCGGGTTGGACACCGACCTCACGGTTGACCAAAGCTTGCTCACACCAGGGGCGATGTTGCAGGTCTTCAGATGCTCTTCCCATTTCTTCCGCTTATGTACGTTCACAAGTTGCCGAACCTCCGAATTGAGATCCCTAATACGGGGGACGGTTGTCTGCTCATCAGCTAGAACAGCCGCTTCGTCAGGAAAATTTGGACGTGGATCCTTAATAAATCCTGCTGGGATGAAGCGAGCTGCAGCAGCGGTGTCAACCCTGCGGAACTTACGTTCACCTACATGAACGTCGGTTGGTATGGGTAGTCCAGTTAAGGCGCCCTCAGTAACATCCGTGAAGCCTTTCCAGTCTGCTTTGGAAAAGTTGACATAAGTCCGGTGATCCACGGAAACAAAGTCGCAGATTTATCAATCGAGATGACTATGGGCAGATGGTCTGATGCTAGAGTCAGCATAGGTCGCCATGATACGCTGTTTATCAGACCAGCGCTAACAATTGTTAGATCTGGCGAGCTGCAGCAGCTGCCCATAATCCTGGTGGGTGCGTCGTCGTTCATTGTACAGAATGTCGAATCGTCTATCTGCTCAGCCAGATGTATTCCCCTACGATCATTTGACAGGCTTGAGTGCCAAANTCGTTCATTGTACAGAATGTCGAATCGTCTATCTGCTCAGCCAGATGTATTCCCCTACGATCATTTGACAGGCTTGAGTGCCAAAGATCGTAGTGCGCGTTAAAGTCGCCAACTACCATACGTTTTTCACCTCTGAGTAGCGCCTCTATTTCAGGGTGATATCCTGCCGGGCAGCTGGTGACAGGGGGTATGTATACGTTAAATATTTCGAGCTCAACATCGCCTGACCGGATATCAATACCCTGACATTGTAGGATGGTATCCCTGCGGTCGATGTCTGCTTCAATGAAACAATACTGCACGGCGTGGTGCATGATGAACGCTAAACCTCCACCATTATCTCGCTCGCGAACTCGACGGTGCACGTTGTATCCATCGAAATTAAACAGGGTTGAATTGCCGTGCAACTTCGTCTCTTGGACCGCAGCTATTAATATTCCATGCCTTCCCATAAAGACAGTTACCTCCTCGATCTTGCTCTGGAGTCCATTATAGTTAAATTGTAGCACCTTTGTGTGCCTTGGGAGACCGATTGTGACGTGTGGTGTTAAAGAGTTGTGTTGCCTGCCGGCCCCCTGCTGTACGTGCTGCAAAAGGGGGTGCTGCCTTGTGGTGGTGGTTGGCGGCGTCGCGGGGGAGTGATGCGACGGGGCAGCACAGCAGGGGCCCACATAGTCACTCGTCCAATCTCGCGTGTTGCGAAGTCCTGAGCACGCCCTAAAGTGGCACCAGCCGAGGCAAGAGTTGCACTTGACTGATGTCACGTTACGGTATATTCTGGACTGAAAAACAGAGCAGATTGTCGGAGGGACTAGGAGTTGCCGGCGGCGCTGTGTGGGTGCTATTGTGTTTGTTTGTGTGTCTATTGTTGTGTTGTGTTGGGGTGTGGGTGTGTTGATTGTGTGCTGCCCAGACGGGTGGTGGTTTGCCGTGGAGGCGGTCCGGTTCGCACAGCATGGGGCCACGAACGACGTGGTCCATTGCCGGTGCGTACGTAGGCCCGAGCAGTTACGGAGGTGACTCCACCCGTCACAGGCATTGCACCTGACCGAGGTGGAGTTTGTATGCAGTCGTCTCTGGCATACGCAGCAG